ATACCTACCTACCTACTCGGCTTCACCTACCTATCTACCTACCTACAAACTCGTGGGGGGGCTGTTGTGCTCCTCTCTTACGAGGACGCGAGCGAGCGAGCGCGCGCGCGCTCGGCCGATGCGTGTCGTCGTGGCCTGCCGATTCTTCGTGCAGGGGGAGCGAGACCGCGAGCGAGTCCCACCTGGATCGGAGGGTTCGGTTGATCCAGAAGTCGTGAACCGAGCAAACCAGTTCGATAGGTGCCAGCCGTGGCGAGCAGATCGAGCCGGCGGCTGCCAGTCCGAGTATACGTCGAGAGGTTCACGTTCTCCCATCCTGTCGCGGTTCTCGTCGCGAGTCCGACTGTCGCGGGTGCCCCGAGGTCGATCGAAGGGCGTTCTCCAAGCCCAAGGAGGTTGCCGGGTCACAGATGAGACGGGGAGGCGCCGGACGCGAAGACACCACCACTCGACAGGCTTCGACCACGTGGCCGCAGGTGCCCGTTGCGATCGAGAGTGCCAGGCCTGGGTGACTGACGTTCCAGGTGATCTCAAGGTGATCTCGTGGAACGTTCCGAAAATCTGATTCGTTAGCTCGAGACACCGTTTATACGAGGACGACGATGCATCGTCGCGAGGTCTGAAGAGAACTATAGAGCAGAGACGCGACAGAAGCAGAAGCAACAGCAGCTCGGCGGTGTCAGTCAAGGTATGCTTATGTCTCAAGGTCTCGGGTATATGAAGAAGCGTCGCATTTTCTTGCGCGGGTGGCCTTCGCTGAGATTACAACAGACAACGGTCGGTATCGTTTTTGCCGGAGAGAGAGGGCGACGCACTTTGGCGGATAATTAAGCGGTTCCTGCGCTGCCGCGGGTTTCACGGTGGATGCTGAACTTGGACGAACAGGTGGTTTCTCTCCTGCGGTCTCTCGTCCTTGATCCTCCGGGTCAACACCGGCGCGATTTATATTTTTTTCTGTTTCTGCGGTCGAATAGTCAGTAACTATTAATAGACCGACAAGGTTTAACTTCTTCCAAACCGAAAAGAATATATTAATTTTATTACTGCAACGTTTGATAGATTCTAGCTTAAAAAAATTGTTGATATCTTGATCTTTTTTAGAATGAAGATGTAATTTTGAGCGATAAAAAAATCTATAGAAAAAACGAATGATAACAGTTGTCAAATATACTGCCTATAATATTTCTCTAACAATATTCTTATGCAAGAATATCTTCAGCAAGATACATTTCATGTAATTAAGCATTTAAAATTTGCTTTGAAAAAAGCCATACAGCTGAATTAATTATATAAATAAATTTTGATTATAGTAAACAAAAAGGGCAAAAGTAAAGATAAATAATTTACATTTGGTTAAATTAAACTTAAAGCAAGTAAAATATATAAAAATGATAGATTACACAGTGGCTTCATTTCAGTAAATATCAAAATCATCCGCTTAATGAACACGGTTTATTGGCCGAATAATCAATTCAGAATTTTATATGTGTATATGACCGTGACGTACTACATCGACGAGCGGGACATATTGCCGATCCGTTGTCGAAGTTAACCGCATGTTCTTTAGAATAGCGGTATACTTGACTCGTTTCAGCTGAATTTCATTCGTACGTGGCACCCGGGCACCCGTGCGTGTACCTGTACGTGTGTAAACTAACGTCTGTCTTTGATTTTACGTAGTTTCATGCATTATTCATGCGGTTTCGCTGAGAAAAAAATCTAGTATTCTTTGAAGCAACTTGTTTATTTCGACAATATAGCTTTTAAACGCTTCTCTAAGACGATATGAATTATCACTGATAAGACGCACTGTTTTTTATCAGGATGTCTGTAATTTGTTAAAACCGATACGGAGATAGTAACTTAGACTTGTCAGAAAGGTTTGAATTATAACCAAAATCGACATTTTTTTCCTACTTTCCATCTTAATTAAATTTCAATCTGTGTGTGTGTGTGTGTTTCGGTACTTTAAATACAATCAAATCACATTCTTTTTTTAAATTATTTAATCTATAGTTTTGCCAAAACTTCCTCTTTTAATTTTCTAACAATAAGTGGGGAAACTGTTTGTTCGCTGCAAATTCGAGATATAAATAAAGTAAGAACTCGATTCCTATATAAAGTATAATCTATCGAAAATTTCTAGAATCTATAAATGTGAGAAAATTGAGACGAAAAATAGCAAAATTTCGACTCGCGGGAACAGCTCTTTATCTTTACATGAGATTTCAATTAAGATTCAAATAATAGTAGCGTTGTAAATAGCCAGATGGTTCTACAAATTCTCGGATGATTTTCTGGATAAAAGCTGATACATACCACCGTCGTAATCAAAAGTTCAAGTCAATTTTATACTAGCACATACATATAATATGATACGCGTTATTCGTCAAATAAAATTCTATAAAATTCTCAGACAATTTTCTTGGATGAAAGCTGGAAGGTACCGTCGTAATCACAGCTCAAACCAATTTTATAAGCTATCGTATACGGCATAATACCTGTAAATACGTTATTCGCTAAAGGGAAATAATCTATGATAATGACCCAAGGATTGAGAAAGGGGGTTTTATTCGCGCATAGCGTATCTCGGCGCCAACCCACATGTGTGCGCCTCGCATTAGATACGTGAGTACAAATGAAAGTGGCAGGTACCGTTACCACGCGAGTGCTGCCTTACGACAAAAGCTATTTCTACGATGCGTATATCTCGCGTATGTACACTATACGCACGTGCGTTCTAGTCGCTTTCGTCTGTCAATTAAGATACGTCGTTTTTCTCAAACGAAAGAGAATATCAATTCCGTGAATATGTAAAAATCTTATTAATATGCTAAATACGAAAAAAGAACATTTATATTAACGTGATAAAACGTTCGTACGCTATGATAAAAAATAAAAATAAAGAAAGTTCTCTAAAAAATTATTTATCTGTATGAGATAAATTGGTGATGATGTTATATTGTGTTACATTATCTTAAGCTCGCTGCAATATCGCGAAGATCATTAAATTAATTAAAGATTATTAAAGAAATCGATTATTACTCAAATAACTGCTCCTCTCATTCTATAAAATATAATTAAGTGCAGCATTTTGTTCGCCGACAAAGAGCCCGGCGTATTTCTAAATTATTTAATTTAAGATAAAAGAGAGCGACGCGTTTTTCCAATGATCGAACAGATTCGACGAGCGCCAATTGCAAGTCGCCCGGCACGTATTATGTCGAATTATGTACGCTACGTTCCAGTCAATTAATAGGGGCGTCGAGTGCTCGTACTTTGAACGAAGAAAGATACTAATTAGAAATGCGTCGACTGGAGAAGATAACCGTTGTCCAGTGTTTTAGAATCCGGGAAAGAACCGATGACCTGACCATCGACAAGCAAACGCAGCTCACGTCGACGCTCTCTCGTTCGTTGCTTCATCCACCCGAATTCCTGTCTCTGGATAACTGTAACGCTTTTTATCGCTTCTTCGAGATGAGGCAACGGCGAGTGCACACTGAATGAAATCACTGCATTTTCTCGCGATTCCTCCGCCAGTAAATGGCCGGAGATTCAATGTAGAAATATTCGCTCGGTTCTCGATACAATCGTTCGGAGGATAAACTTATATAAATTCTGTAACTTGCCGTCTTCACAACAAGAATATTATATTAAAAAATATTATTTATAAATTGAGAGTTTTGCACAAACTGTAAAAATATAGACGCGCTTATGGAATTTTTCTCAAAGAATGATATAAAGATTTCTTCGAAGATTTAAAGATAGATTTATGGCAAAATTAAATATTAAGATAACAACAATTAATAAATTAAAACTGAGGGATAAATGCGTGGCTATTTATAGTGATAATCGATCGTGAATTTTTCGATTTGAATATAAGGAGCACACACGTGGATCGCTTTGATGATCGCCGCTACAGTGCGATCCGGCAAAGTATGACGTTACGATCAAATTCCTGCCTCCGAATAACTGTAATCCGGTTCACGGAGCCGACCGTACGACGATGGTTATCGAGTAGTCATCACTGAGCTCGCTGAAGGTTTTTGGCATTTCGACATGACGTAAGATACAGATGCGATGTGTCAAAAATCGGATCTAGAGATCTGAAACAAAATCTCGATATTCCTATCTGGAAGCAAATCAACAATTTAATTCTTCTTCTTCTTCAGTTTTATCGATCACAGATCCATCGAATAAGCCCGCAAAATGAACGTTTCCCGCTCAACCTGGTCGTTGACGGAATCGATTTGTCCTTCGTTGAGACTAAATTGTGGAAAAGGCAACTCTGTCACGTGCGACCTTAGAATTATTACTTTATCATACAGCTCGCGATCAGCTGTAGACTCTACCGAACTTCTCTTTTCTCATCAGAATTCCGGACGCAATCTGTCGAATTACGAAAGTTCTGCCGAATTACAAAAAGATCGAGCGTGTGACGTATTTATGAAACGCAGTATGAATGTGTGCGTGCTTTTTAATTTAATTTTTAATTTACTTTGTTTGTAGAAGGCAATCATGATAATGTTGAACACATGCACATGCTCCGCTTCAAGCGTGTTCGATGAATATATTACAAGATTACGAATGCACGAATAGTTAATTAAATCCGAATATAATTTTACGCTCGATGAACAATCCGGCTTATCATTTATTTTTTAACATTCCAGATAAAATCAGTAATACGTAATATGCCGTTATTAAGAAAATCGTGTAATCAATTAATCATAATTAATATAATACTAGTGCCTAGTTTTGCATCAGGAAAACATTTTACACTTCGCATCGCGCTTACAATATGCATAGTTGAACGTTTGTTTGTTCCGTTTGTCGTTGAAAGATGAATGAGCTCTCGGTGTAATGAGAAAGCAATTTGTCAAGCGATTCAATATCACTCTGACATCTCGGGGTAATTAATCCAAAATTATAACAGTGATAAAAGACGTAAATGATACGCCGGTCGCGAAAGAGGATCACCGCGCGACTAAAAGTAGCAATTCCGGTGGCGAATTGAAAAGAGGCAGTCTGTGCGAGTCGCGCTGCTAAAAATGAACGTTAAAGCGTAGCACCTTGCCGTAATCAAATGCAATCACATAGTGCAATTACGTCCAGTCGGACAGACAGTCAGTTTTTTTTCACCTTGCTTATTCTTCGTGAGAATGTTCTCAGACTTATTCTCGTTATGCTGCGAAAATGTCACAGTCGACAGTGTCTGAATTTTATTTATTTAAAGCTTAGCACAAATCTTGGGTCAAAATAAAGGGCCACGTTGTGTGCGTGTGACAAGGAATTGTAATCTTATAAAAATTTATTTTTCGTCGTTATTCATTGTTATATGCGTTTATTTTTCATGAAAAAGCGACGATAAGACGATACGAATAAGAAAACAAAAATAAGTGTTTAAAAAAAAAAAAATTAGTATTAAAATCAATATTATAATTTCTTCTGACTTTTTCGTCTGTGTTTCAGATGTGCGTCCGGCGAAAACAGGCTTGGTCCGCCGTTTTCATCAGCAACGTGTTGATCCACACCGTTGTTATCGCCAGTCCGATCTATGTTCCTCAATTTCTACCGGGAAGTAAGTACTTTAGATCGCTCTATTATTCGCGGGAAGAGTATCAATAGTTTTCCTCCAGATAGCATCGATACTTCAGAGGGCCTATCTTCCGGATAGTTCGGAGAATCTCTCTGCAACGCACAATATTTTACGATTGCAATTTGCTGATTAAATTACCGTTATGTTTTACGTTTTACGGAAATTAAGCCTCGATCGGCGGATCGATCTCCGATATAAATAGCTTTAATTGAGCATAATTCTGTGGATACAGTCGAAATAAACTCGTTGCATTCTTTTTCATATAGCTACATTTCTCAAGACCCGCTATTGATCCAGAACGATATTAAGACGCCGCTTAAAATTACTGCTCTATATATTTTTTCGGTAATACCTGGGAATATAAATTTTGCGCAGTATTTTTGTAAGACGTACGATGCTCTTAAATGAAAATTTTACCCAGTGAATATTGCGCAAGATATATCAAGCATATCAATATTTATGGAATTTAATTTAGCGAAAAATTGTATATATTCTGTATTCTTATAGAAATTTATTTATTATAAGGATTTATTATAAGGAAAATTAATTCTCTGACTGACATATTTCTCTCAGCTTTCCAAAATTAATATTGCAATGCGCATATTTAGAATTTTAAAATAATTTTAGATATTGTAGATGTAGCGTGCATTTTAAACTGATTCCTCCTACAATATATCTGCGTTCGTCTCGCTCTGGCTCTTTCACGCTCGTTGCATTTTCCTCGTGTGTCAGCTGAGTAACGGATCGGTACACAAATACCAGTAACCGGCACAGCAAGGTCCGATCATTTTCTACGCGTGTGCGTAAGCGCTTACCTGTCTCCATCGCGCAGCGACATTGAACCTACCTTGAATTCGTATTCGAACGGGACGTGGGCGGACTGGTCAGTTTTCTGTAGAAGTGGGTCAAATGCGGTCATCGGGCCGTGTGGCTTGCAGTGATTTTTCCGTCATCCCGCGATTCCCCGCCGTTTTTCGCGCGACAA